TGTTCAATTCCGCTTAAAAGATTTTGGTCGCGAAAACGCTTTTTGTAGTTGTTGGCGCGTGCATTGTACATTTTATAATAATATTTAGTGAAACATTCCATTATATTTGTATCATACAATATAAGTCGCGTAATATTAGAAATATTTGTGTATTATTTAGAAATATTAGAAAAACGGCATTAAAATRTAGAAAATATACGCTGTACGATCGGTTATCTMGGATATTATAACCACTCCAGACCACTTTGGTATCCTTCAATAATGCATTTATTTGAATTATGATTTTTTTMTTCTTTGCTCTTGATTCTTGATTATAAAAATGATTTTCATGCGTATTTTTCGATAGGTACAGGTAATAATATGAATATGAATTCTAAAACAAAATAAATCGTATTTTAATATCGTTTGTATAATTTTGCAACGGCTGATTTGCGGTGTGGGTAAGTACGTATAACATTTATTATAAATTATATTATATTTATTTGRTATGTATGATATAATAAAATAAGTACCATAATATCAGTCAGTAGTGTGTCCGACTGTATACAAATCTCGTAGAATAGTATAATGTTGTATTTTTGTCGTTTAGTATTTTGTAAAATGTAAATTCGATTATGAATATACATAATATGGTTAAATGGTGGCTTTTACTGTATTTTAGTTGAGCTTGGTGTATACTATACAGAGTGATTTTTTCATCACAATTATGCTGTCATTTTTTCGGTTTGATAATTTATTTTCATACATAATCTGAAATCATTAAAGCAGAGTATTTTTTTTTTTTTAACAAGAGTTCTATTTCATTTTAAAGACTATGCAAATTAAAATCATTTTTATGAACACGCACATACATTTATTATCGATAAAATGACTAGACAGCGATAAAGTTATCAATCTGTATTATGAGCGGACGCCACAGCCACTTATTATTAAATATGTTATCTCCGCCTTACGAACGTATAACATGGCAAATTTGTGTGTTAATACAGCTCCAATTTTGTGTATTATTCGTAGTATACTAGAGCTAATTACATTTGAACTACTGGAACACAAATTTCCAATCTTGCTGCAGTTGTACCTATACCGGGTAGGTACGTTTCGTAAGACGGAGACTACATGTGCTATTTATATGATAATATATGCGGTCGTGGAGTCCTCTTAAAAAACGACGCTCATATAATAAACGTCGTTGAATCGTTCGCTTATAAAATATAATATAATAATAACTATTATAGTACCTACATACCAGCCTATATATATTATATATACAATACAGCTGTAGATATATATTATATATTATTTCTCTTTATAAAAATGTATAGTGTTTTAATGTTATTGTATTTATCGATCCACGTCTTTAATGAGAGTCGGTCGTCCGTGTGCGTGTGTGTTGTGCAGGTCGAGCCCGGTGCAGTCACTTCCTCAGTGCTTGTTTCTTCGCGGCTTCCGTCTCGGAACGGGGTAAGCGCCACCAGGGCATCCCCTGCACGTCCACCTGCGAACCRCTGTCCAGGACGTACGCCAAAGACGTGCCCGTGTCCATGGGATTCCACACTCCGGACAAGTATGCGCGAGCGCCATGTTACATATATACAATCTATAAACCATATTATTATTATTATCATCACAATATTGTGTGTCTTGTGACCAGAATTCGTGAAGTCATATTTTGCTTTTTTTTATATGTTCTAAGTAGCTTCGTGTCTGACTGGCCTAACGATATCGTATGGAGTAAGAGTGGGCTAATCGCAGAATATGAAGCTATTTAAGACGATTGTGAGGGGGTGATGAGGCACTGAGTTGGCGAACACTGAATAAATATACCTACCCCCAAAAAAAGAAGAAAAATTCTAAATACGTACCTCTGACTGCCAATGTGTTGGTCTTTTGCTTTTCGAGAAAATTAATGCWTATAGTTAAAAGAATTGTTTTATCTATTAGACCTGACTACGTTGATGAAAAATTAAAAACTTAACATAATTATTGTGGTGATATTGAATTTTATATAGAAAAAACGGTCTGTTTTGTTAGTGATTTCTTTTTCGTCTGAAAAACATGAAATATTGTTGACAACAAATCGTCAACAATACAATAAACAATGAACACGTTTATATATTATGTAAATGTATATTTTAAATATTACTTTATGTTGTGTTTTAGTGCTCGAGGAACGTACTGCATTCAAATGCGTAACAGTAAAGCGTGTCCATTCGATTAGACCAGAACCTCCAACAGGTATAATATCAATTATAATATATAATATATTTTTAAAAAAAATCGAAATAAATAAAACCAAAATTTCACATTCCGGTGCTAGGTGCTCTTTTTCCGTAGTCCTAACACGCCTAATCAGTAAACTCACATATTTGAATTTCAAGTTCGGGTTCCGATTCATCGCAATTGTAGGTACTATACATACTACTTAAGTATCCATGTATGATCAATTGTAGGCAATTTTAATTTAATTAAATAAGTACCTATATAGGTATATATATATTTCTTTTTATATTAATATAAGATGWTTTTTGTGACATACAATTTTTGGAATTTTCTAAGTAGCCATTTTCTATAAAATTAAAAAAAAAGCTCTTAACATTCAAGAAAAATTTACCATGTTAAATGATACGCCTATATATTATTATTCATCTCCATTAACCGATTAAAAARWATATAACTGAACAGCTAGGTACCTAAAGATTTATTATTAAGGCAATAGATATACATATATTTTTTTAACCATCCGATATTTTTATATTTTTGATACCACAGTATATGATAGTACAGCAAATATCATAAGTTTACTAGCTCCAATTTTACGCATAATTTTAACGATTTTTGTT